AGAGTCTACATCTAGGTGCCTCAGCCTCGGAAAGTCCCTTACTGTGGGAAGTAGACTACATACTCTGAAATAGGGACCCTAATATAGTACCCTAAATAGTAGGACCCTTATTATAAGGACCCCCAAAATATGGTACCCCCCTAATGTTGGCAAGTTGGGTCCCCAGCGAAAGTCTCATCTCGTTGTTGCTCACACCTCGCCGCCGCTCGCTGCTGACGGACTGGCGACTTAGTGTTTAGGGTTTAGGGTTTTGGGTTTAGGGTTTAGGGTTTAGGGTTATGCGATTCAGCTCATTGTGCTTCCAGTTGGGGACCCTATTGAGGAACCCTATGTAATTCTACTCTTCATACCCCTAGTTTGGGAACCCACACAACAGACCCTGATCTGGACAACCACCCAGATGGGGCTTCGGGAGTTCGAAATCAAGCTTTGTTTGGGGTGTGGGCTTCAGTACCTCCTGTCTTCTCCTTTTGGAGGTTGGGGTTTGGAACTTGGGACTCTCATGCTTTCGGTTCCTGGGAGGGGTGCCGGGAGCAAGAATTAGGGTTTACGGTTTAGGGCTTGGGGTTCAGGGGGTGATTGAGAGACTAAAGCTACAAGAACGGAATCAGGCACACCAAATGCAACAAGACCAGCCACAAAAAAGAAATGCTGCCCCCAGCCCCTAACCAGAAGCCCCAAGCTGGTCCCAAAAACACGAGTGAATATCCTGAACCCCCGACCGGGGTCTCGCGAGCATGTTCAATCGCAGCTTTCTGCGTTCAGGATTGGAGGTTTGGCGCCGACATAACTGGATCAAGGTTTAGTTTACGGCTCAAATTTCTGGCCTTCAGGGGCGGTACCCAAAACCTCGAAAGCCACAAAAACCTGCAGAACGGAAACCACACACCAAACAGAGCTCCCAAAGCCGAAAAACCTCGATAATTACAGAATCGCTGAATACTCAAACGTGTATCCGAGACCAAACCGTCACACCTTGAACTAACACACCTGCCCTCTCAAATCCCTAAACCCTAAACCCCAAACCCTAAACCCTAAACCCAAAAGCCTCTAACCTCTCAAGCCGTAACCCTGGCCCGAAGCTCCCAAAGCGCCCAAGCCCAAAACCACGGGCCTCGCGTGAACCAACCTGCGAGCCGAGGCTTCCGACTTGGTTCTAAGGGTTCCCATAAGGGCTTGGGGTTTAGGGTGTTGGGTTTAGGGGTTAGGGGTTTAGAGGTTTAGGGGTTTACGTTTTAGGGTTTAGGGTTTAGGGTGTAGGGTTTAGGGGTTTAGGGCTTAGGGGTTTACGGTTTAGGGTTTAGGGCTACTGCTGTCAGAGGCCAGAGGCATCTGCCAGGGTTGCTATACGGGCGTCTAATGGCAGCAACGACGTACAGCGACGACATGTAAGAGCGATAGAAACGACCAACTGTCAATGAGTCACAGATTAACAAATCAACAACTAAGAAAGACGAAACAAGCAGTAGCGAGAGCAACACTAACCGCTACTAACCGTAACACGAAGAATAGTCATGAGTCATAAAACAATGACAACCATACAAGAAGCAATAAGAACGACTATAATCCCATGAACACTCCCTAAACTTTAAACCCTCCCCTGAACCCTAACGAGAACCCTGGACAAGGTACAAGGTGTCCTACTGTAGGGCTCTAAATAGTTGGTGGCGCGCTGGCCAGGACCCTGGTGTTAACCTCCACTTTTTGACCTTTTCCGGTGTTTTTTTGGGAGCGGGGAGGGCAGGGGGGGAGGGGGGGGGGGGTCACATCACCGAGCGTCTACGTGGGGATTCGTGATCGCGTTGATTCGGGATTGTTGAGGTTTGATTGCTGAAGCTGAACTTACAGCAATTTACATGGAGAATCGTTCTTTCTATATTGCTGGGTGCTTGCCGGGCGCTTGCAAAATCGAGCGCCTACATGGGGAACAGCTGGTTTTGATTTGGCGTTTGATGCGATGTCACTGATGTGTTTCTGGAGCTGGTGCCAACAAAACTTGATGTGACTTAGCTCTGCTGCTGTATCTGATAGATGTGACGGCAGCACAGCGACATCTTAACAGGCAACCCGAGATCGGCAGTGCAGCCGGCAATCTGCCGCCCAGCTGCACAGACAGGCAACCATGTCGACACTGAGCTGAGCCTGATACTCTCACGAAAGCCTGTAGTGAGTGCCGAACTGCTTAAGGGCTAGGAGAAGGTGTGAGTGTCGATCAGGCTAGTAAAGTGGACCGTTGTTCATTCGGAATGGCGTTTGCCCGAGGCAGGCATGCAACAGGTGCAGGAGAACAGCGCTGCGGCTGTTTTCATGCATTTTCATGCAGTGCGCGGTGGATTGCCGTGAAGTCGAAAGCCGAACTTGGGAGGAGACGCCCGAAGAGTCGAAGCCGACGGACGAGCAAGAAGAAGGAGAAGAAGGAGGAGAAGAAGAGCCTGGATTCATGGACTTTCCTGACAATGCGCCTCCCGGCACAGCAATAATAGTCTTACGACATCCTGGGCACCACAATCGCGGCTGGCGACTGGTCCAGCAATGCAGGAGGTACGAAAAACAACCTGTAATTCTGGCTAGCGGCTCTTAGAACCCTTGACGCCATGCTGCCACAGTGAAAGCTGTAGGCACAGTGGTCACAAAGCAGGACAAGGATACAACTTAGGATGCTCCGGTCATGTCAGCAACTTTGGGACCCGAGCTTCTCGTACAAACCGAGGAAAGATCAAGTGATCTGGTTCATTTCCATACCTGTGCTCATGCCGATCTACTTCTTCACGCCTTTGCCCAACGTATCCTGGTTCATTCGGGTACAGCACTGGCACAGACGTTCAGACTTAGCGATCCCAGCTTTGTTAGAATTTCGTCGGCACTTGCAGTATGCCTGCGAATCAAAGGAGCGGCTCTTCCTGCTGACATTCCTTTTCTCCCTGGTCATGCTGCCACATTTCTTGCGCGAACTACCAGCAACTACCAGTAGGCGTCCTGAGAGCAGCTGTGAAACGGCAGGTGTGGATCGCATTGCTCTCCTTCTGCCTCGTTTGGTGGGCCGACGTCTCAAAAGACTTCAGTAAATTGCAACAACCACCTCGTAGGGTTGCGAGAGGGTTCCCCTTGAGGTTGAAATCCTGGGCGAGGCCTTGCACATCGACCCGATTTTGATGAGCTTCACCTTGCTAGCTGCAGCTCGGTCCTCCCAAGACGTGCACGACATGTACACACTTCTTTTGCGTGGAACCTGATTGTAAAGGCATCTGTCTTAAGAGTCCCTGAACCCGCATCTGACTGAAAACCACACGCATTCAGTAAGACCCTAAAATTGGCTGAGGCCGGGACTTCCATCCCGGATGCCGCTTCCTCTGTCGCGGTGGCGAAGCAGGGCGAGGGTGACATGGCGGTGCAAGGGCCTCAAAGCCTCACAGATTTTTCTGAGCCTAGCAAAGCCTCGACGGAAGACGGAAGGTCATCGTCGGTGGGTTCGAATATTTTCGACATCTTGGTCGGACTGCCCATCCCATGGATGATCAAGATCGCATTGAACGATGCCAGCTATCAGGCGAACTTGCCGTGCTTCTGCGCACTCCTGACCGTCAGTTTGTGTGTGTGTGCGCGGCACGCCAGGTGACCATCAAGTCGCCCTTTCTGGCCTTTGACGTGATTCTGCGCCCTGCCACGGATTTGATTCTAAGGAAGTGGCTTCGGACCTGGTAATATAACAAAAGACTACAAACCCACCCACACACACACACACACGCACACATTGCACGCACACACACACACACAAGCACGTGCGCACACACACACACCCGCACACAAACACAAACACAAACACACACACACACACACGCGCGCGCGCGCGCGTGCACGCAAGCACGTGCACGCACGCATGTGCACGCACGCCGCACATGCATGCACGCACCTGCACGCACGCACCTGCATGCACGCACCTGCATGCACGCACACCTGCACGGACGCACCTGCACGCAGGCACGTGCACGCGTGCACGGACGCACGTGCACTGCACGCACGCACGTGCACGCACGCGCAAGCATGCAGGCGCACGGGCGCGCTCGCGGCCACCTGCACTCGCATGAACACACGTGCGGATGCCCGCCTTCGCACACGCAGGTGAATCGACCTTGTCGGCAGCCACATACTTGTGAAGCCTGCTGCACGGTCGATTTCACTTAGTGTTGCTTATGGCGCTTTGGAGTTTAGTGCAGCTGGCTGGTGCGACTTCAGATGCCCAAGCTGCTGCTAGTTAATTTCCACATTTAGGTTAGGATGAAGGGTCATGCTCGGAGTCGCGAGCACAGCCTACCTACATCCATAGAAACCGCGTTGGCTTGGGTGGGTGCCGGGTGGCTTGGTTGCAACCCAACTTCGAGCCGGCAAATCGCAAATAGCAAGAAGCTCGCCGAGGTTGCTGTTCATGGTCTTGGCGGTCGTTGTTAGCATCCATTGCCTTGGATGGAAGCTGAATCGTCCTTTGGGCCTTGTCATGGCCATCTTGCAACTCGGAACTCGAAGAGCAAATGCCGTGATATGCCCAGCTTGTGAGGATGTGGATGGACTGAAGATGCCAGAAGTTGGGGGGGGAGAGTATTTCTGTGCTAGTCGTGGTGGCTGCGCCAGCAAGCCATCTGTCAAATTTGCCAAGCTGTAGAAAAGCTATGTTTCCCAAGGTATTTGGCGTCTTGGCCTCGGCTTCTGAGACAGTTCTGCCACCGCTGCACACGCCATGCTCGATGTTCGAAACCAGAGCCAAATCAGCAATCCAGCATCTTTTTGTTGCCTTATGCCCAAGCTTATTCTTGCGCATTCCCCAGGTTCCTCGGCGTAGCTGTTTCAGTGGAAACCGCGCAACCGGAGTGGCTCAAATTCTGAGCTTTCTGAGCGCTCGGTCATCCACAAGTGGCCGCTCACAGGAGGCGGCGCTGGATTGGAACATTCAATCTTAGTCAGAAGGTATGGCAGAGTATAGCAAGCATAGCATAGCACGACCAGCACGGGCACTTACACCCCTGGATCTTTCTCCTTTTTGGGTGGTCCCTGGTTCTCGAAGGACCGGTCCATCAGATCACCCCGATTCGGAAGTATCTGTCTCACCATTAGTTTCCTGCGAGGCAGACGGCGCCTAGCATGAGGCAATATCGGAAATCCTGAACTTTTGTTACTAGCAAGCTGCTGCAAACCGGTTACGGGCAGGTCTACAAGCTGCATCGAATTCGGGGCAAAGCGATCTCACCTTAAAGTCCTCCCCTCACTTGCTTCATTGGTACTGCTTCTGCCTTACTGGAAAATTGTTACTCCAAAAAAGCGGGTCTCAGAATTGAGAAGCCGAGTGTTTTGTGGCAGACTCGTCTACTAGGTCGGGTCGTTGTCGCGCAATCATGCGCCAAAAAGCGGCCTATAAAACTGGGTGCACAAAATGCAGCAAGTGTCCGGCCTCCTCGACAGAATGAACAAGATTTGTGCAAACTCTTGAAGTTTTGGACACATGACAGGTTCCTTGACAAGTATTTGCTGCAGCATGTCTCACATCTACAGCATCGCAGCAACAGCGAAACCTTCCATCGTAAATGCAGTCCTGCTGTTGGCTCAATGTGCTGCAGGCCTCAAGCCGTCAAACAGTTCTTGTTCCAGCCAGCCGTGAGATGAATTTGGGCTTTGCCGTGCCCAGAGTCCAGCATTCGCCTGCAACCTCTTGGCCTGCTTACCGTTCCCATGTACCAGATGCACATCCTACTGGACCGGTCTCCGCACATGGAGCCGGTGCCATTCTTGTGACGGTACTGTCGGTGGGTGCGCGTCAACTGCAGAAACTGCGCAGCCTGCCTCGGCGCTGCTCCAAGACACACCGTAAAGCCCTCACTGATGACGTCTCCCAGGCCATCGATGAAGTCGGTAACACATTCGAGGATGCCCTTTTGCATGTGGCCCGGCTTCCAGCATGGCTTTCTGGCCAATCGCGGACACCGGACGCCTCGGCAGAAGAGAGCAGGACCAGAGTGGTGGTTCTGGGCACTGGCTGGGCAGCCCATGCTATAGCAAAAATCATTGATGTTAGCAAAGTCGATGTGACGGTAGTATCCCCACGGAACTACTTCATTTTTACACCCATGCTTGCTGCCGCATCTGTGGGCACAGTCGAGTATCGCTCGATTCTGGAACACATACGCAGCTCCAATCCCACCATTGAGTACTGCCAAGGACCGATGGATGGTAGTCTTGCCAGACCAAACACAGGTACATAAGCTCGGAGGTGCCATTTTTCGAGTGGATAGTGCTCTGTCAGGCTTGAGTTCTGCCAGTGTTAGAAGGCTCAACGAGCTGATATCAAAGTAATCTCCCAAATGCCACCAGGTACCTGCAAGAGCGTGGACGTCGAGGCAAAGCAAATCTCGGTGCAACCAATGCCAGAAGGTTCCGAGCAGGACTTCAACCTACCCTATGATGCTCCGCGAAGCGACACAGAAGATCTTTGTGATGAAAGAGCCTTGAGCCAAGGCTCTTCATGTCGTCGAACGTCCGTTGTCGTACTTACTGCCGAAATCTAAATTTAAATCTTCGTAGCCATTTGCTCGCCTGTTAGCACATAGAAGCACCGTGACCTTTTTTATGTGCGGGCCAAATCTAAAGCAAAGGCCGCTATAAATGTAGACGGCGTGTGCCACTTAAGCACGCCCCCAGCAGACTCTGCAGCCAAGGTTTTGGTGGTTGCTGTTGGGCTTCGGCCCAGTTCCCTGGGAGTGCCAGGCATCTGCGAAGTCGCGGGGGGGGGGGGGGGGGGGGNNGGGGGGGAGTAAGGGATCGTGAGGAATTCTATGCTTTTGCGACGACCTGCTGGAATGAGTGACCATGGCGGGCTTTCCGATGTGCCCACTTCAAAACTCAGAGTCGCTGCATTGTGCTGCATGCCATACTCATTCAGAGCTGCGATTTTGTTCAAGGGCTCTACTCGTCAAAAAAATGCCCGTGCTGCACGTTGAAAGGATCTGAGGGTCTTAAGCCACATCAAGGGATCAGACCGAAGCTTGAGGTGACCCAAGCCTGACGGTGTCCATTCCAGGTGTGGATGAGCATTGCCTATTCTTAAAGAACATTGACGATGCTCGCCGATTGCGAAAACGAGTCACTTTGAACTTTGAAGCAGCCGATCTGCCTGGCAAGTCGGACGAGGAGTGGTGGCTTGGAAATGGCCCAGACCCCGCAGCTGCCAGAATACATACCTTTCATAGAAATTGTCTGAAATACAGACTTATACGGAAGCAGCTGAGGAAACAATCGCTTAAGCAGTCACAGGTGCACGTGCATGCGCGGGACACACAGCCAGTTGAACCCGCGTGCCTGGTCACTGGTAGAACGCATAATGCGCACGTCGTGACAGAATGCGTTTCTCATTTATTTCCACCGCTTTTGCAAGCCACACGGCATCAGCGACTGAAGTCATTGCTGAGAACCCACTTGGGTTGATGCGCAAAACGAGCCGCCATGTCCCAAGTATGATGTGTTTACTTAGCTGGGGGTGCAGAAACTGGAAGGGGCTGAGGGGCTGCTTGCACAACCGGAGCGTTTGCTTGCAGAGGAACGTCGGCGGCTTTTGACTTTCGCTGTGGTCGGGGGCGGCCCTACAGGCTGCGAGTTCTGTGGCGAGCTGTCTGATTTCGTCCGGAACGACCTTCGCCGCTTTTACCCCAAGCTGGCGCCCTTGGTTCGTATAATCCTCATCCACCGAGGAAAGACTCTACTTCCTGACTTTGGGGAGAGCCTGCAGCAAGCTGCACAGGAGTTTTTGGAAACGCAAGGCATTGAAGTTGTTCTTGAAACAACTGTCGACGAAGTCGGAAAGCAGCAGGTTCTTATTGCCGACAAGAATCATGGGAGCGACCAGAAGGCCTTACCATGTGGCCTGGTGGTGTGGGCGGCTGGGCAGATCGGCCAAGACCTGGTCAGAGACTTGCATAAAGCGATCCCTCGCCAAGAAGAGCTTGCAGCGTCCGAGGCGCATGAGAGCAGGGAATTTGGGACGTGTAGGTTTCCAGCACCTGATCTTTACAGGTGCAAAGAACTTGGTATTATGAGGCCCTGCGATATAGACTAGTGTCCGGGAAAAAGCAACGGCAGCATGATGAAGTGGTGAAGCGATGTTAAGACGTCTCTCCTTTGTCAATTTGCTAGAGCAACTTGCACACACACGCACACAGTGACAGGCACGCGGAAATGACAGCCAGCTCTTCGTGGATGCCTGGCTGCGTGTTTGCGGCGCGCCGTCCGGGTCGATCCTGGCTCTGGGTGACTGTGCCCGCCCTGTGGGCGAGGTACGATTCCCGAACACAGCACAGGTTGCAGCTCAGCAAGGTGCCTTTGTCGCCCGACTGCTGAATAGACAATATGACCTGGCGCAGCCACACCCGGTGCTCAAGGAAGGATCAGCCTTTCTGCCAATGGCGCAGTTTCGAGGGCAGACCGAAGCTGTCCCCTTTCGCTTTCTAGACTTAGGACGTTTAGCTTATTTAGGCCAGTCTCAAGCTGTTGCAGAGCTGGGAGTCGGCGAAACCACCGTGTCGCAGTCCAAAGGGCTAGCGGCCTTTGTCTTGTGGCGTTCCGTCTACATCGTAAAACAGGTCAGCTTCCGTAATCGTGTCCTGGTTCTCTTTGACTGGATCAAAAGCCGAATCTTTGGCCGAGACCTGACGCGCATTTGAGGCAGGCGGGTTCTGTTTGCTTGGTGCTTCTTAAGCACATGCGATTTAATAATATCTCGCTCGACATGCTCGACCAGAGCAGTTGTACAAATTCATGATGCAACAGTGTTTCAATCAAGGCTCCATGCCGCGTACAGAGGGGATTGATCCCGAGCCACCCAGCTGGCACCGGACAATGCATTTCGCACGAGTTTGCTGCCACTTGCAGCAGAACTTCCAACAGTGTGCGAGGAACAGACGGTTCGACTGAGCTGCACCAGCTGCCGGAAAGCAGAAATCCCCGGAGTGAAATGATCTGCATCTCAAGTGTCAGATATCAATCTTCCTGAAGTTCACTCCTTCTGCCAGGTACCACAGCCCTGGGCACAGTCCCACCGGGTCTGTGCAAACTAGGTTGTGGTAGACCCGCGGCCTCAGGACAGCCGCAATTCACATGCTTTTCAAAGGCGGTTATTGGTGCTGCTACAACAGCTGCTGCGGGGTTGTCTTGTGTTTCACTAGCAAGTGAGAAACCAGACAAGTTTGCACCAGACGATCTTTCAAACTCGGCACGGTATGCTTCAGGACTGAATCAAGCGGGACAGCCTCGGAACACATGCTGCCGAGGACATGCGATGGTCCTAGTGCTAGTTCCGGGTACCGGTGACTTTGTGGAGTCAGTTTTTGGATACAGCGCGTTGTGTTGAGGCTTGGGTCAAATACGTTCGAAGATCATAGTCAAGAACAGAGTGCCAGAGCTGTCAGGATGCGAAGCCGGATTTGGACACGACGCTGGCTGCGGTGGTGCACCTGCGTAGCCTTGGGGCCAGCCGCTTTGGCATGATCTATTGTGTAAGAGCTCGCAGAATGTTTCTCTGTTCGGTTCCCTGTGCGATATGAGCTTGACAGATGGAGGTAAACATGTCAAACTCCATGGCAGCAGAGTTGGGAGGTGTATCGGGCAGCTGCCAATCAGTCGATAACTTGCGTCTGCGACCTTTGCACTAGCTTACCTGATCTTCCGATGCAGACGCAGAAACAGAATCTCACCGCATCTGAGTCATCTGAGGCCTTGCAGGTCCCGTTTTGTGAGAAGCGTATCGGGGAGGCCCTGTGACGCTTTCCAGGCATTTCCAACGTGTTGATGCAGTTTGCTGTGGCAGAGCATGCTTTGAAGGAAAGGGCCAGAGAGCAGAATGTGACGGTTGAGGTTTCGTAGTCGTTGCCATCGCCGCCCTTGAAATTTCCTGGTTTGTAGCTTCGAACGACTTGCATGCCTTCTGCTGCTGTCTCAACGGCCGGTTCATGCTTCCTTTAGCATGATCATGTCCCGTTCCCTGCGCAAAAGGCGCCTAAGCATTCGTTCATTACCGTTTTGTTTTAACCGACATGCACGGGAGGAGCAAATTCCCCGTGCATTGCGACCAGTATGACTGCGCTCCATCGCGCGTCGCTCTGGACCCAGGAAGGTGACTTCTTTGTCGCCTCTTGCCACTCCAACCAGGCCGCTCGGCACAAAAACCGTGTGTCTGGTTCCTTAGTCGGGCGGATCTAGAGTTTCCGAATGCGAGAAAGAGCTCATCGAAAAAGACATCGAATGCTGCAGCTTGCAAAGCAATCGGGTCCTGGGCTGTGTGGGCGGTATGAACGGTAGAAGGCGGAGATTCGCATGCTCGGGTAGTTGAAAGGTAGCAAGCCCTACTGGTGCCCACTTGAGATGTGTCTTGTACTTGACTTCTGCTGCAGCTCGCGAGTGCTTACGTTTGCATGTTAACTATCCGTTTCTAAACTTGGTAGCGGGGCTGTCGGGTGTTCGTTCAGGGCTCATGTTCCTCTCGTGCCTTGCCATGTTTACCACCCTTGTTTTTTTTTTCCGGCATTGGCATCGTAATGCCCAAGACGACCTCCGACCTGAAACCGAACAATGATACGCAGGCAGCCAAAGAAGCATTCAGCATCCCTGATTTGCTTGACCCGAATGCGAGCGTTAATGACACAAACATGATGGACATGTTGTCGATCTGATGTTGCTCTACTTGCCCAAGAGATTGCACAGCTTCTTCGTGATCAACAAGAACTTGTGCAGATGCTACGCGAGAGTGATCGTCTCCTGGAAACGGTTCTGATCACGGGAACAGCGTTCCTGTGAAACGTGAGTTACGGAGCTTGCTGGCAGATGACCAAAACGACGACTTTGAAGGAAAGAGTTTGGTGACGCATGATTCCATCCGGGCATCAGCCCAGGACGGAGCAAGGATGCATGATGTGCAGCAGTTGCGTGAGAGTTTGGGGCGTTTTCGTGAGAATTTCAACGTGCACAATACCTGAAGATGCACCTTAAGACTCCTAAGCGTGTTTCCCGCAAGGAATGCCGATTGCAAGGACGTGTCAGTGCTAAGTCCAAAATCAAGTCATTTCAGGGTTGGGTCCAAAGGTTTGTTGCCAATAAATATAGATGGTATGGATTTGTCTTGCTGGTGCCCTGGTTTGGTCTTACTTTACGTATATGATGCCAGGCGCACCGCATAGACCAACAGGTTTTGGCAACGGACAACGGACCGCGACAGCACGCCACGTAGGCGATGCAGGACCACCGTTCCTAGGAACGACTACCCTTAAAGTGCCTCCGGGAACATAACCAACATTACTCGCTACGATCGTGGTCAGTGACATCATGTTGAGCACGGCCGCTGACGTGGAGCCACAACGTAAGGTTCCCACTGCTGCTTTCAAGTAACCGGTAGTGCAATTAATTGGTACGTGAAATTCCTCCAGATCAGCTGGCAAATGGTGGAGTAGACCTGGCAAGCAGTAATCAAGTGACGAGTTTGATGATGTTGGTGCGAACTCTCGCCCCTAGGTACCTGCCATTAGAGCAGGGGCAATCTATTCGTGCCATCGTTACTTCATGAACTTTCATCGGATTCCTGGTGAGAGCCTGGATGCACTGCTTGTGCGGTTTGATATGCTGCGAGCTCGTGCTCAGCAACGAGGCGGTTTGGGATCAGGCATGGGGGTTTGGCCTGGATGCTCCTTAGGTCCCTCAGAACAACTGCTGAGCAAACTGATCGCCTTTTGCAGCTCATAGGCGGAGCACTTCCCCACAACGATGTTATGAAATGAGAATGCAGATTGAGCGCATTCGGCGACAAGTCCATTTGTTTGAACGTGGGCTCAGGCATCCAAACCACCAGGAAGGAGTGGGAGACCCAGGAAACTACCGTACCCAGCACAACGCCTACTCCTATTTCCCCACATTTGGGACTGCCCCGAATCCCAACGCGTCAGCCTGTGGAAGTTTCTGTACTCGTTGCCCGCCATCAACAGCCGCCGGTGAGGGCATGGCCGGATTCAGCGCACAGGCGTTGACGCGTAGGTACTCCGGGAAACCTCCTCGCAGAAACCGTCGGTATGGTTTCAAGCACGGTCCGAGGTTACAGGCAAAACTGGACAAGGGGCCATTTGCCAGAACTTACTCAACTTTCCTTCCACAAGGTGCTTTTGCAGGTGGAAACGGAGGACAGGGCAAGGGTAATTCTGGTGGTTTGGCCGAGGCCAGGTGCACTGAATCACGGGATAAGGATGGACAGGTTATGAAGTGTGCAAATTGCGGTTCCACATCACACTTGTGGCGAAAATGCCCACAGGTTGTGTGAGGCAATCAAGCAAGTGCATCAGGAACGCATTGCGCGCAACAAGCCAGCGCATCATCGGCCTTCCGGCGTAGAAATGCGACAAGGTACTCTTTGTGGGGCAACGCCTGCGGCGCTTCTGTAGATCTTTCTCACTCAAGTCACTAAAGACACGAACGTCTATGTGAGCAAACTGCTCGCAAGTGTATAGCTATGGTTCTGTCTTGTTGACCGCGTTGCAGCTTAGCGGGTCCTGGCGTGGAGTGCAGGGTCGCATGCGCACAGCGGAGTAGTCGCTTGGGCGAAGCCCAAATGGCACCGGACGGGCCGTAGCAGCTTTTGCACGGAGTGCGGGTTGAAGGCGCGGATGGATATCTACGTTCGCGGAAAGCTACCCTACATTGTGAATTCGTTTGCCTTTCATTGGGTTTGGGTGTTTTGGGAGTTACTTGTAGTACTGTAGTGCTTTAGTAGCTTGTGTGGGGTTGTGTTAGGGTGTCGTCTTGTGCTCACCATATGCCTGGGCCAAAGTGCTTGCCTTCCGCCTAAACAGCTTGCAGAGTCCTAGTCCTAGTTGCGAAAGTGCAATCCCTTTACTCGACCTTTACTCCTCGGACAAGAACCCCTCTAAGAGAAAGTGCAACAGTGACAGCGATGAGAGTTAAGAATAGCGACATGACACAGCAAGTACTGACAGCAGTAAACCATCAGAACACTACGCAGGAAAGTGCTATCCAGAACCCACCCTCAAAAGAGCCAAGCAAGGAAGACAACACAAATCTGCCCTCCAGCCATGCCATGGCCCGGGGACTCAAGAAGCCACCAAAGCGCCGGCGGCTTGGGAGGCGTCGGACCAAGAGGAGTGGGAAACGGAAGCCTTAGCACGGAGTAATGCAGTGTTGTGAAGTTAAGAAGTTAATGCAAACCTTGTCTATCTAACCACCAACATCGGCCAACCATCAAAATGGATTATGTGTAGCAGTCATGGGAACAAGAGGTCGTTGATTCTCCCTATGAAATGTGAGGAATGGAAAGGAGGGGTGTTTGGATCTGAGGTCAGTACTTTTTTACACTTATGTAGAAATCATGTCCTTGCCCAGGTCCCTACTGCCATAGAGGCAAGGTATTTCTCTGATATGGTTCAGGTGCCAATCACACCGTTGCCGGGCAGCAGACAAATGCCCGCGCAAACGATATGAAAATGGCACTGCGGTGGGTTCTGCGCAACGAATAGGTAGCTTAGATGTCTCGTCCGCGATGCTTGAGGGCTTGCACTGGTGTGTGCACCATCAAAGGCTGATGGCACCCAGGGATATGTACAGGTCAGTCTCATGTTCACCCTGGCATCGAATGGAGGCCCAGCCGAGCTGCCGCCTCGCAGGCCGTGGTGAATTCGACGAATTGCATGCGCATCCTTGGACTGGGCCCAAGCCAGGAGCAGAACGGCCTGGCTTCGAAGGACTCGCCGCCTACGGTGGATGCTGCCACGGGCAGCTGGGCAGCCGAGGCCTGGAGGCGAGGATCGGAGTCGAGCAGCATTGTTATCGCTTGGATGCCAGGCCGTCGCCCATGCCCGCATCTTGCTGGGCGAAAGGCCTTTCCTTTCCGAAGAAATCGAGCCGGAAGGAAGTGCATATGCATATGGGAGGGAACTTGAGACATGCGCCAGGCCACCCGAGCACGGTGTTCCGGAGGTCGAGACCCGAGATGCAAAGAAGCCGGAACTCTTGCTCTGCACGTGCAGGCGGCGGCGATGCTGTCAGCTGTCCTCCTGAAACTGCCAGACCTGTGGTCTGAGCTCGCCCAGGACCATTGAGCTTAGCGAGACACTGGTCATAGGTCATAGGTATTCATAGGTCCTGCAAAGCTGGCGATCAAAGCATGTCAATGCCAGAAGTCAAGCGAGGACATGCTGCTTGCTTTCGGAAGCACTTCCACTGCGAACGATGTCTCCGGCAGCGCCAGGCCAATCGCGCCGGGATGAAACTGGGAACGTCCATGTGGCATGCGGCGTGCGTAGAGTATGAAGCTCTTGACTGAAGGTGCAAAAATTGTAAAATTCTATCAGGCGACCCCTGCACCTGTACCTGCAGGAGTCGCAGCGGAGGATCGGCATTCGCGGGAGCCCCGTCAAGGGCAGAGAGAAGTCAGCAGGAAGCATGCATTTGTTAGGTAGCTGGCCGCGAAGACTTGGCAGCGAGATCAAGGAGCCGTGCGAGTGCGACATTACATACCGTACAATATAGTATAATATACTATAGCATAGTATAGTGCAAGATAGTAGTATCATGTCGTATTAGAACATACCTTGAACCCGCTTAACCCTGCCCGAGCAAGCACGATGACATTGTTTGTATAGCTCTTCTTGGGTCTGAGTCTGGCTTGATTCTGAGCCTGTTCGTCCGTCATATGCGTCCAGAGCAGTTCAACGGCTTGCTTGCTTGCTGAATTCAACGATATCTTAAAGAAACCTGTCCAACATGTTGGACGTATACGAGGAGGCTACTCCTCTCAGCTGTGGCATCGGCAGTGTGTCCGGTCCGCAGCAAGGCTTCGCCTAGCACAAGTTTTCCGGGTAGAAGAGCCACAGAAAGTGTCAAAGTGGTGCCATTTGTGCAGGCGGGAATTTCTAGGCCGTCGCCGCCCCAGTTTGGCACGGAAGAAGCTTCTGGAGCTTTGAGAAGTTGCTTCGCTGTCTTGACCTGATCAGAGGCTCGCTGCCGCATCGTCCGTGGCGCTCCAGTGCCTGCTGGGCGAGGACTCCGAGAGAAACCAAACTTGGACTCGGTTTCTGTCGCCATGAGATGAGGCCGAGGCCGACGAGGGGAAGTTCATTGCTGCCTTCCAGTCCCTGAGACGAGCAGAGGTGGCCGGCGCGAACAGCTAAGCTTGATCAAGCTGGGTCGAATCCGTGGAATCCTGCAATTCCCGCGCAGGCCCTGGCCAAGCAAGCTGGCGACGTCAATGGCTAGGGCCTGATTTGGCACGGGACATGCCCAGCTGCGACATGATGTTGCACCACTTCAGCCTCTGCACATCCTTTCTACGGTCCTGTCCTATCCGAGGGAAGCGCAGAGACTAAGATGCTAAGCCTTCAGCTCATTTGTAGTAGCCACTGGTTCGCCCAGGATGCAGCAGGGCTGAAGCCGCCCTCGATGGGCTCCGAGCAGCCGCTTTGCAGAGCCAGCATCCCAGGATATCGGCAGGTAAAGGCAAGTAGAACACGGTTTTGTGATTAGGGGCTTAGGGGTATCCGACCCGTGTAGCGGGCTGAGTCTGGCGAGTGTTATGATCTTTCCAGGATGGCACTTCCAGATGATCAATGATGTGCCGCGAGGGGAGCAGTACGCCACTCGCCGAGTCGAAACTTGGTACCCAGGAGAGATGTGTCGCTGAAAGTTGACAGATGCTTCGATGGCTGCACAACTCTACAAACCAATACGGAAAAAAGAGAAACCCACGCAACATATCCATCTATACGTGTGTAGATATACCGTATGATAGCCTATCAACCTTATCTCTGTCTGTATATACGTAATACATGACATATAAGTAGGTAGCTGCGTTGTGACCCCGAGACTTCCCCGTGGAAGGGACGGGCCATTGCCTTGGCGGTGGCTCAGCTCGCAGAAAGGCCCCAGGCCGGGCCAAGAAGGGTTTGGGGGTCAGGGCCAGGGTTTAGGGGTTAGGGTTTAGGGTTTCAGGGTGTTTCTTGGCTCGCTAACGTTTGGAATCTCAGCCAGCAAAGCTGAGCTGCAGAACATGGGCGGACTTGGTCTAACCTGGTAGTATAATGTCATAATACGTCACACACACATATATCTCATATATATATATATATACACACATGTATTCATCTTACGCAGTCGAAGCCCACGAAAGCAAAAACACCGAAGTTGGCCCACAGTTAGTTATTAGGCACATAGGGTTTCTATGGTTGGGGGTTTTGGGCTTTCGGAGTTCAGCGCTTGGGCTTTGGTCAAGGGTTTAGGGATGTATGGGTGCAGCGCACTTGTGGTGCTGCAATCGTGATTCGATGCAAATGGCAGTGACTGCACTCCGCTGTCCAGTGCGGGTTCAAATCCCATAGTTAACGTGACTTTAATTGACCACGGCAGCCTGATTTTCCTAAAGTCTCCCATGATGAAGCGAATTTTGATCTTGCTTTATTTCCCGTCAAGTGTGCAAGCAACACTGACACTGTGCATAAATCCGCGATCCCTCCTTGTTCTCTGCTTGGCTCTAGCTACGAGGTGCAGGCACGAGGCGGTGTTACCGCTTTGGATATCGGCACCGGAACGGGTCTGCCAGGGGCTTCGTTGTATTGAAGCTGCTCTTGCGAATACGACAAGCTGCATTGACAAGATTCACGTAACTCTGCTGCTGAGGCTGGCTCTCATGTGCGCGCAGCAGCAGGCAAAGCTTGCAGTCAAACAGTCGCCAGGCTTAGCATTCAGTCTCACGCCAGTCCGCATGTTGGGCAGGGTGTGCAAAAAGTCCATGCGTGCGAGATGAACGAAGCCCTCTGCGCGATTGCCAACGAGGTGGAAGTCCATGCAGACAGTCATGAAAGCAGCACCGGCTTTCACCCATAGGCAGCGGCATGTTGCACTGAATCTGCGCACAGCCCAGGTCATCGCCTCGCAGACTACGCCTCACTGCCCGATCGCATTGCATCCCAACGTCGCTTGCACAGATTGTGACAGATCACCTGGGCCCCAGCGGACTTACTCTCTGCATTCAGTGCTGTTTTATATGTGATTATAGGTCTAAAGGTCCGTGTCTTTACTACTACCACTACACGACGTCATCAACAACAACAGCAGCAACAACCAGTACTACTAACTGCTACTACACTACTGCCACCACTACTGCTACCACTAACAGTACCATCACCACCACCACCAGTACGACTATTACTACATTGCTACTATTACTATCATTACTACTATTACCACCAGTACTACTCGTACTAGTACTAGTACTAGTACACGTACAAGGACTAGGACTAGGACTACTACTACTACTCCTCCTCCTCCTCCTCCTGCTGCTGCTGCTACTGCTACTGGTGCTGCTACTCCTACTCCTACTCCTACTCCTACTCCTACTACTCCTCCTACTACTACTACTACTACTATTACTACTACTACTGCTACTGCTACTGCTACTGCCACCACTACTACCACTACTACTACTACTACTACTACTACTACTACTAACACTCCTAAGGGTCTCGGCTGGAGCCACAGAAGCGACAGTTAGGCGGCTGTAGAGCATGGCCTGTGCGGTGTTTTTCATTCTGCTGCCTCTTCTTTTGAGAATGACGACGAGTGTCGCTTCGAGCACACGACAAGCGGTGCTCTGGCCGGGTGGGTCCCAATTCCCACCACTCCATCATCACACGAATCATGCAGAAGTCATAGATGTTGGAGCTGACCCGAGGGTTGGGCCTCTGACCACAATGGGCCCGGGAACTGTGCCTTTAGCCGGCACGGTGAAAAACCCTGGAGAGACCTCAGGCAACGCGCCGTTGCTTACGTATGCTAAGAAGAGAGCTTTTCGCAGAGCAAGGAGACGGGCCGAGTTACGGGGTGGAACTATATACAAAGGAAGCTGGCGCAGTGCGCAGGAGCTTGGTACTACCTTTTGTCCTGGTGGGGAGCCTAGTGCGCCAATGCGACGACTGCGGATCCCTGCCACAGGATGGCAGGCAACCCAACGCCTCAAGGTGCGTTCGTACAACGTGGGCGGGGTAACTTCTGAAGTATACGACGTGATGCATCGATGGCTTACCACCAGCTGTCAGGATGATGTGGTGGTGGTACAAGAACTTCATCATGGATGCGGGAAGACAGACCACGGCTGGCAGATCCCTGGATGGTCCGTGACGATCACAGCCGACGCGAAGAACCGCTACAGCGGGGTCGGCGTGTTTATTTCCAAGCGTATTGCATCGGAAGATCGCATATCGTGCCGCACATGGCTGCAAGGACGACTCCTTCATGTCAGATGCTTCACCAGCCGGGTCACCATCGATGTTGTGGCTGGCTACCAATGGGTCTGGCAGGGACGCGATAACGAGACGGTCATCGCAAATCGAAGTCTCTTCTGGGGCAAGCTCAGCGCGCTTCTGCAAACGCTACCGACGCGCAATCTGGTGGTGGTGGCTATGGATGCCAACACACAACTGCAGCCACTGCCGGGACTGATTGGGAGAGGAGTTCTACGCACTACTCAGCATAGGGATCTTGAGTTCGAGGCACTCCTTCAAGCTCAGAACTTGGTGGTTCTTAATTCCTGGGGGTCGTCTACGCGACAAGCTTGCCACACCTTCGCGAATGGGACCACCTATAGCCAGATTGATGTGGTGGCACTGCGACGACCCATGGCTGACGTCACTGCTCGACGGGCCGCGCCTGAGTCTCTAGACCTCGCCCCTTGGAGGCGGGGACCAAAGCACAGGTGCATTACCGCTAGTGTGCCGATGCGTGCCGGCTGGTTGTACCAAGGCAAACCAACCGCGCGGCGCCTGAGGTTTTCGCTTCCGGACCTGCGAGCATCAATACGGGCGTGGGACAGTAGGGCACAACAGCTACAAGCCTTCCTAAGCGAAACCCTAACGGGAGGCGAGGTTCAACAGGTCTCCGAAGTCAACAGTAGGACACTTGTTAAATGCCAAGAGCTCTACCCGCCTTCCCGACTTACTCCCCAGAAGCCTAGTACGAGTCCTGCTGTCCTTCAATCTATTGATCATATGTGGCGTACGCACCAGGAGCTGCATCAGGGCGGCGAGCAACGAAATCTTAGGGGCATGATTAATACGTACCGCAAAGTGATGCAGTTTCAGAGGGCTAGTCGCGAGCTCAAGCGTGAAAGCAGGCATGCAAGGCGTGCATGGTTTGAAGATCAAATCCAGTCGGCTGAGCAAGCTGCCCGTAAACACGATCTTGCTGCTGTATACAAGGTTGTCAACAGACTGGCACCTAGACGTAGACGTGAGCCGGTTAGGATCCGTGGTGCCCAGGGTGAACTGCTTTCGCCAGCTGCCGAGTTTTCTGCCATTTTTGAGTATTATCAGAATGCCTTCAGTGCGCCACTGGATGGCACGGCTAGCGCGCCTGTGTCAGACGTGTCACTCAGCTTTAGGGCCGAAGATATCACTGGAGCCATTCAACAACTTAAGAGTGGTAAGGCTGTTCCGGACGCTAGCCTGCCTGCAGAGGTGTGGAAGCTGTGTGCAGATGCTTTCGCCGATTTGCTTGCGGCGCAGCTCAATATGGCAGCGCGCAGCACTCGCCCCTTTCCCGAGGAGGTAACCAACTGCACTCTAGCACTGCTTCCTAAGCCACATAAACCCGGGCGTAGTCCTGCTGATTTAAGGCCCTTAGGGCTCCAGGACCCTAGTTCTAAGATCATTGCCACGGTAGTTCGCGAGCAGCTCCTACATTCCACCGGCGAGTACCTTAAAGCTAGGCCCCAGTACGCTTATACCCCAGGCAAAGCCATAGACGAGGCCATAGCTAGGGTTAGCCAGCACTGCCGGATCATAAGGGAAAGGGTGCAAAGCTCCGTGCAAAGTGTGCATGATCGCCGTGCCAAGCGCCCGGTGTTGCCATGCGTGGGAGGTATAATGTTAGGCCTTGACCTCAGTAGAGCCTTCGACCAGGTTCCTAGGACTTCCTTAGCCCAATCACTGCGCAATGCTGGCGCGCCAGAGGCGATCATCACTGCCGTGATGCACCTACATAATGCCTGCCAATATGAGGTGCGCCACAAAGGTAGTACAGGAAAGTTCGCAATGCAGAAAGGCGTCAGACAAGGCTGCACTCTAAGTCCATGCTTGTATGCCATCTTCTCGTGCCTGTTGTACGACGTCTTAGCAACACGCACGTGCCCACAATGGGCGGCTAAAGCCATCACCCTCTTCGCGGATGACTCTCACCTGGCATGGGAGATCAATTCCATCGCGGATTTACAGTTTGTCAAGCATTGCGTCCAACAAACGTTCCAAGTCTTCCGTGAACATGGGATGAGCGTGCATCCCGAAAAGTCCCAGATTGTTCTGCGGGTTCGCGGCCGCGCAGCAGCGAATTGGATTAAGCAGCGCCAATATCGTACACCCAACGGTAAGTTTCTGGACTTAGGGACGCCACACATGCCAATACATATCCCAATTGTCAGCCGTATGGTGTATCTCGGGGTGGTAGTCTCCTATGGGGCCTTTGAGCAACAGACTTGTTTGCACCGGGTTAAAGCTGCTAGCCAAAACAGACATCGACTGGCCAAGCTGCTCCACTGCCGCAGACTTAGTCTTCGCCAGAGAGCACGTTTATATGTTGCCTGCGTGCGCAGCTGCCTTTTGTACGGACAGCATGCGGTTGGGGTTAATGGAGCGGTGTTGAGAAAGCTTGACCAGTTTGATGCTAGAGCACTTAGGGCACTGTCGCGTGCTCCCGCTCACCTCACTCGAGAGTCCACGGGGAAACTGAGGCGGCGCCTGGAGGTCGAGTCACCCCTCACGGTTCTAACTCAAACCCTCACCAAGCGCGTTTCTAAGCTGGCGGACGAGTCGGTCTGTCAGTGGTTCATGCAAGTGCAGGCCAACCTTAACACCCACCTCCAGACGACCGCGACAGCTTGCTCCATTGTGGCGCTAGATGCTGATATCGAGCTGGGAGTGGCGTGCCCTGAATGTGGTTTGTATTTCCCGAATCATAGGCACGTTCAGTCACACCGAGCTCGGCAACACGGTTATCAAGGCAACAATGCGCGCGCTAAACCCGGTGTCTTGTCTGCTGTTTGCTACGTCAGTGGCTCTGTCGGGGGCATGCCGGAATGTCGTCACTGCAGAAGAGTGTTCACTAGAGTCGAGGGCCTGAAGAAGCATCTCAAATCTGGTTGTCCCGCTCAGCCCGCTGCTAGAACCATCTCGGAGACTGCTGCTGGGTTGTCGGGTGAGGTCCCCGACGCTCAGGTGGGGCTGCCTAGGGGCCGGGCCCCACAAGCAGTCTCCGAGGGCACAACCCACAGTACATCGACGCCCGCACCGGCTAGGGGTTTAATGCAGGACCCTGAATTCGCTGCTCTTGCTCGAAGGGACTGGAAAGCCATCTTGCACAACAAGGAGCATGTCGATGTGCTAAAAGAATATTGCGTCATTTGTGGCCAGTGGTGTGCAGCCGTCAAGCAACATGTACGTCTCATGCATGCACCTGAATGGGGTCTCAAGACGTATGCTGAAGATCGGTGCCGTAGCCTGCTCTTTCCGGCTGACAGCCCTTGCAAGTACTGTGCAAAAACGCATCAGCAGCCGCGTCGACACCTTACGCATTGCAGCGTTCTCTTTCAGGCTTCACTTGCTGGCCTACTTACGCAACCGCCCACTCAGGTCCCGGATGACGGAGATGGAGGAGGCCGCGCAGTCGTTGCAGGCTCGGCAAGACCTCATGGAGATCTGGGGAGGGAGAGCCAGCCGGAAGAACGATCTCCCGGAGGAAGAGACCAATCCAGAGGCCGAGGATGTGGACCGGAAGTCCAAATACCGCCGAGACGACCAAAAGGGCAAGGGACACTCCACAGATTCCTGGTCAGGATGGCAGCGCCAGGGGAAGCGCAACTGGCAGCAGCAAAACCAGCAAGCGGAGGCGACGACTGCGGCGCTGGACGCTCCTACCCAGGAGCTCATAAAGTGCATGGTCAAGATGAACATCCGGCACGAACAGGAATTGATGCGGCTAAGGCCGGATATGGGGTTCGTCCTCTTTTGCGACACCTCCGAGATGGGATGCTTGCAGATGCTGCGGACCGTATCCCTGGGCTGGCAGGAGAAGTTCGCCAACGGCACAGTGAGCACGTCACTGAAGTCGCTGATGGTGTTAGCGTTGGTGAAAGACCTGAAGGAGCGGGTCGAAGCAGTCCTCGCCAAGGAGGACCAACTCCTCAAGTGCCAGGAGATGGGCTGGATGGTCCAGACGGAGACGGCATTGAACCCGAGCTGGGTTTACTTTGGATGGGACTCCACAGCCAAGAAACAAATCGTGCTGCCAGACCCTCCGCTGAAACATGCCGAATGTCTTCGCCAAATCGACCTCCTGCTGGAACATCTGCCTCGGGAAGGAGTCTTGGCGCGGTTTTCCACGCCGAAGGAGCTTCTGGAGAAGTACGAGACGGAGGTTATCCCGTTCAACCTCACTCTCAGTCTTCGGGGTGCTTCCAGCGATTTATGCCACGAGGCGCTCAAGAAATTGAGCGGATGTGCAGCGATGAAACTCCAGGGAGTTCGCTTGCGCCCAGAGAGGATCCAGAAGCCTCCTCTGGCAAAAGCCCTGGAAGCGGCATACCTGGCAGCGCCGTTTTGCGACTGGACTCGCAGGAACACATGGAACAGCAAATGAGCACAGAGGACGTAGGGCCGTCCTCTGTGGCCGCACAAGAGTGTGTGCGGCTTGATACAGGCAGGGCACCCAGACTCTCTCCAGCGCGATTGCAGAACCGCAGTAATCTCTGCTACATACACAGTGTGCTTCAGGCTGTGTATTGGCTTGGGCAGCTGTCTACTGATGCTGCATCCTGTTTCGGGCGAGTTCAGGCAGGCATGAAGATACTCCAAACTCGTGGAGCTGTGTGTGTGCTCGATTCTCTGCCACTCAGAGCACTGTTTGCCGGCTGGGGGCAAGTGCACCGCCAACACGATGCAGGTGAATTCTTGCAACACTTTCTGGCCGTCGCACAGTCAGCTGCCTACCAGGGCCGTTGGGAAGCCAGGCTTGGTGAGGCAGGTGGCCCTTTCGACTCAGGTACTTTGGGGCATGCCATTCTCCTGCCCATTGCAGGCGTGGCACTGCCTACCCTGCAAATGCTACTTGACAGCTGGCACCGCCAGCATGCACTGCACGCAATAGCTCAGCATAAGGGTGTCATCTGGCTGCAGCTTGAGCGTTATGCGCATAATGCCCATAAATGCACCACCACACTACGCGTCCGACCAGGTGACCGAGTGGCGGTTCCGCTCTTTTCTGAGGCGGCTGGACTTGAAGTCAGGCATGAGACCTTCACAGTGGTTGTTTTGGTCTACCACATTGGTGACTCTGTCTGTAGCGGTCACTACAGGTCCCTGATAGGGGTTCCGCAAGATGATCAATGGGGCTTTTACATTTGTGACGACGGTAAAGTTCCGCGACAGGCTAGGCCACGAGATATGGTACAGATCGACCAAAATGCCTATCTGGTAGGTCTCTTGCGCAGTCCATAACAGCAGTGTAGGCCCAAGCAGGAGGGCCGTGCACAAGTTCCTGCTTTGTGATGCAGTGGGAGGCCGAAGCGTCGCTTAGCGTCAAAAGCCTTCCTCGCATCATGCTCTGTGAGCTGATTCTCTCTCGTTGTGTACAGTTTTGCAATACCTACTCCACGGCAACCTTTTCATCTCTCCGTGCCTCACGCAGACAGGGCTCGAGCCAACAAGGTAGTGCCTAGGTCGGTGCTACCTGGCTGCGTTAGGGAACGCAGCCAAGGCTGCTCGGGCCCTGGAGTCTGCTTTCTCCGCACCTTGCTGTGCCAGCTGTGACCATCCACCACCACTGATCACATCCCATGCCGTCTGTCTCAAGTGCAGCCCGTGCAAGCGCCCTGGGTCTAGGTCGACCCTGCGCTGTCAGTGTCCAGTAGTTGGAGATGGTCTCTATTGCGCTTCCCATGCACATGCAGCTCGCTGCCAGAGAGGAGGCCGCCATTCTACAGGCTCTGTGGGGGCTTCTACCGCTGGGGACCTTTCTCAAACCGGCGGTGACCTTAGCTACGCGCAACGAGCTGGTGTATCTGGCGCAAACCAGCCTCACCACTGACGCGTTCGAGCAGCTGCTTCAGCTGCTGGACAAAATTGCGGTAGAGGATGACAGCTGTGCCATTGTCAGCTACCCGGAGCCGTGCTATGTCAATGCCTGCGAGTCTACCTCTGCGGAAAAGACTGCTGATCGGCACCTCCGTGAAGGCTCTGGATCCCTTTGGGTGGCGGTTCGAGAAACCGTCCGAGAGCTCGATTTTCAGCCTGATGCTCGCTCGTTCGCCTGCGGACGTTATGCCAAGTTCGGGCTCTACAGTAAAGGAGGCCTCGTTGGCATGGCCAAATGGACATCCCAGCATGTATCAGCTTGCAGACTGCTCAACGCTGCAGTCTTGTCTGTTCGGCCGGAGCATCGATGGACATCCATCACCATCGGAATGGATAACGAGACGCTGCCACACACGGACCAGGGCAACGCCACTACCTTGAGTCTGCTCGTGGGTTTGACACATCATCACCGCGGCGAACTCTGGCTCGAGTCCATGGATGGCACACAGTATATGGATACGGACCGGGGGCTGATCCGAGGACGAGCCTTCCCCACCAGCATGCAAGCAGTTTTGTTCGATGCTAAGCATCTACAACACTGCACAATGCCATGGCAGTTTGGGCATCGTTGTGTCTTGCTAGCATACACTGCTGGACAGTACAAAGCGGCGAAGCCCCAGGACGTAGACTTGCTCCTGAACGCCGGGTTCGTTCCACCCTGAGCCCCGAACACTGGTGCATTTCTCGTTGCGTCGTAGGTCCGACGCCGTTACTACCGACCCCTGGAGACCCACAGACTCGTAGCTGACATTGTGACGCCTAAATGCTCCTTTTACTCCCATGTGCTGCGCTCCGCCACCATGACACTCTACCCCCCTAGGGTTTAGCTCCTGCTCGGGGTTTGGGTGCGGGTTTGGGTTTCGTGTTTGGGTTGCTGACATGCAGTGTGCATGTCACTGCGATGGTCTGGGCACTACTGGACTCCGTGGCTACCCTTGCAGTGGAACATACCTCTGGGTTCAGCCTAGCTCGGCACCGAAACTCTGTTCACTCTTCCACTAACAACCCATAGCCAGGAGCCTAGTGTCCCGGGAATTGAGAAGTGACAATGCTGTGTCACGTTCCTTTCTGCGGCCACCTGAGTGGCACCAGATCCGAAGGCACCTGCTCGCGGGGTACGGAAAAACTGCTAGAGCATCCTGCAGATCACACTGATCTGCCTTGCAATGCGCTGCTGTTCTCCCCCCCCCCCGTTCCTCTCTAAGGTCATGGCATGGCAAAATCGCTGGCAAACGCGCCGTCCACAGCCAGCCGGCTCCGAGGCGGCGACTGTGGCCTCGCAGCAGCCTCAGCCTATGCCAGAGCCCGCGCCGGATACACAGGACCCGCTGATGGCAGGATCTGGGAGGCATCATGCGGCACCAAGGGCCCCGGA